ATAATAATTTTCAAATAAATGTGGCCATGGGTGCAGAAAAGTGCCCAACACGGTAAAGTCGGTAATTAAAAAACTTAAAATTAAACGCGATAAAATCCGTATAATTAGTTTTATTCAAAACTTCCACGTAATTTTATTAAAATTTGAAAGTTAATTTGTGTTATCGGAAAGTGTAGAAATTGGAAAAACTAATATATAAAATTAAGTTAATACGTTCATGAAATCACGAAAAGATGTTAATTAAAGTCATAGAAATCTTAATTAATATCTAGCACAGAACACTATTAGTCCTTGCGGAGATATCTAGTAGTCTAAGGATAGTAATTAAGAGCTACATTCATGGTATGTTATTCGGTTAATTGACCGAGTGTTCGAATTAATTGCCTACGATCAAAGAGTACGGGTACATGTTCAGACGAATTGCTATTAGTATGTTTTAGTGGGTACTATATCCGGCTTAATATTGGCGAGTAAAATTCAGTAGATCATGGAACGTCAACGTCCATAACATAAGCGTAAGCAATTTTTTGCGTGCAGTAAAAATCTTTAAACTTTCTAAATCGTTAAATACGAGACAGCTGTATAACAAGTTCCAAGTACTATATATGTACAAGTTCCTTTATCGGATAGTGGCGGTTTAAAGATATCCACTACCCCATACCGTCTCTTGGGTGTCGTAAGAGGTAACAGAGGGAAAAAAACCAGGATAGATATAGGCAACAATTTTGTTCTATTAAAAACTAAAAATAAAAAATCTGCATTTGCAAACCCACCTGCCAAGCGTCGCAAATATGGCAAATATCCACCCTAAATGACAATCTATAGGGAGCCCTATGTTCATCAGTGCACTTAAAGACTGTAACGGTATCGATATAAGTCGATTTTACGGCTTAGTGGCGCAGTGGCTTAGCATTGAGCTGTGGCGCTAAGAGAGCTACGGGTTCTAATCTCTTCACGGAGCAAGTATGTATGGCCTAATAATTGTTTCGGTTCTGGATATTTTTCCTTCAGTAATTTGAGCATGCAACGTTTCTTATAAAGAGAAAAACGATACCGACATCTGTAAACATCTAACGAAGTTTTAGAATAAAAGAAGTTGATGTATACTTTTATACCCCCTTTTTTTTTAAACGGAATAAAAGTATTTTTTTTTCATGGTTTTGTTTGTTTATTTCTGAGAGATCTGTAATCCTCTACTTATTTGGCTCTCTTTCCTGTAATTATTTTTTGATATTTACACTTTTTAGATTTTAGAATAGTTTTATGGCGTAGAGCCAAACCGCAGTTATATTATAGTTGTAGCACGAATGTGTCGGCTCTTCTTCATGTTGAAACAAAGCTTGCACAGTGCTGTTATTCCCGCGGTTCTGTAGCATTATAGTATTTCTATATACGTCATAAAATTATTCATAAAGAATGAAAATAATATAAATTAATTTAAAAGTACGTCCCCATTTGCATATTATTATCAAAATCATTGGAAATTGGCTATACATTAAAATATGATATGTTTAATTTTTTTATAGAATATGCATGACGAATGTGACACAGTTCACCTGATAGTAAGTGAATGCTGCGGTACATAGACATCTACATTTATCCTCGATTAAAATGAAATTACAGATGCTTTATCATCTCTGAGGACTGATGGAATACCTCGTTTCCAGTAAAAATGGTCTCCGGTTCTTTACACTCACCATACAAAACACTGCAGCATTACGCCGGTATTTTGTGAGAGCATGCTCCTACCCCGGTCGAGGCAACTTATTCGTACTACAACCATAATATAGCTACACGGCGTCTCTACCACGTTATTCGTTCGTGAAGTTACATTCAATAAGTTCAGCCATACCGAAGATAAACTCGGACAGACTGGCAGACGTACAGATACACAAAAATTAAAAAAAAAATGGTTATTCACGTCTTTATGGAAAGCAAAGCTCTCACTGCTCATTATAAGGCAGTTATTTCGACATTACAGATGGACACTCCAATTTTATTTATATGTATAGATTTAGTTGAATTGACGTAGACTTCAATTATCGTAATTTCTTCAATCAACAACTGGTGACGTACTTAAGTCCAATAAAGTCATAATTTAACATCAATTTGGATCTCTCCACGCCACTGGAATAAATATTTGACCAAGTTTCGTGGTCGTTTGCGAGATAAGTATCTCTCTTTCGGGAGTGTTATTTTAAAAAGAGGGTTTACGTAATTATATCACGTACGTTTTTATAGCATTTACTATAATATTCAAAATGATCATGAGTAATGTTGTATTTTAATATAAAACGTGATTCATTTTTTTTCTAACGTATACAATACTTTCTTGGTTTACATTTCGTTAGTTTGCAGTTCGCTTTTTTGTTAAATTTTATGAATAACTTTTCTATTTGCTGTTGAAAATGGAACTGGTATGATTGTAATTATTACTCATTAAAACATTAATTATAAACCATTCATCCCTCAAATATAGTAACCTATGAGTATTAACCATAGAAAATATAGTCACTTGTTTTTTTTTTGACGTGCGTTATATTGCTGTCAAACAAAAACATGTCATCTATAAAATTATTTATAGATAATAAAATAACTTTATTTAGATTTAAATGTTACGCCGTATATTAATATAATTATGTGACTTTTCGAAAAATGTCACTTGAAAAAAACTGATAATTTGAAACTTTATTATCTTGTACAGTGAATTAAAAGAATTAAAGTTGTTAGACACACATTTTATTTCATTACGCGGAAATCAGCAAATTAAGTACAAACTACTTTTATATATTAATAGATTTCAGCAAAGTAACGCCTGATTCTAATAATTAGAAGTACAAGAAATCTAGCCCTAAATGAATACTACTTTATGATGGTCAATGATATTTATAAGTGAAAACGTTAAAAATTTGCGAAATCTACAACCAAATACAATGTGCCTACGTGGGAGTTGAAAAAGACAGAGACCAGACAAAACAAACGAAAAGAAAACAAACACTTTATAAACAAAAACAAACAAACACTTTACACGCTCAAATGTATAGTATAATATATAGTTGCAACTACACGTTAAAATGTGCTAATTAGAACTATGTCTTAAATTTCGATACGAGAGTAACATGTCAATATGCTTTACACATCATCGATAGTTATAATTCATTTTATATTTAGGAATGTTCTACATCAATTTATAAAGATTATTTTTCCCTAAATATTATCATAAGCCAGTGGTTAATTATAATCGCACTTAGTGGTAAGCGATGATGAACCCCTAGATGGTACATCACACTGTCTTAGCGAAAAAAAATTGAAACATATTGTAATCGGAGGGAAAAGCAGACGCCCGTAGATTATTCCAATCTTTTACTGTACATATTATGAAAGATGGCAAAGAATTAGGTTCTAATGTGTGGAAAATCAACAAAAAGGGGTAAGACATACCGCTCACCTGGTTAAGAAAAATTATAAAATTAAATTATAAATAATTCCTACTGATAACATTGTGATAACAATAATAAAAAATATTAAAGGTTTTGTTCGGCAATTTTATTATAAATTCAAAGAAATTATAATTATTTATACTATCTTGATAAATAATTATAAATTTCATATTATTTATACATTGTAATATAGTCAAAATGGTTACTACAGAGACAACATCCGGCTTTGATGGATAGATTGAGATTTGATTTACGATGACGTCAATAAACTGCACTTTTGTTTTATTTTTGTCCAATAAATGTTCAATTCGCATTAAAATCAATGGCTTTTTGTAGAATAAGGGAGACAAATAAACACACAGTCCACCTGTGGTCCACCAAATGGATGCTGTGGCCCATAGACGTCTGTGACTTCCCTTGTTAAAACATCAAAGTGTAGCTGCGTCGCGACGAAATGCTTCGTTTCCAATAAAAGGTTTTCCGGTTCTCTACACTCAACATACGATAAACATATTGAGGTGCTGACACGAATTTCTATAAGTTACCAGGCTTTTTAAAAATCTGACGTGTTTTTAGTTTGGTTGACCTTTAACATTAATTCGTCGGCCCATAAACGTAGGAACGTCATATAGAACGTAAAGTGTAGTTTTATTTTTAAACATTTTCATCATCATCATCATCATTACAGCCTTTCACAAGTCCACTGCTGAACATAGGCCTCCCCCAAGTAATGCCACAAAGCACGGTCCTGAGCCACCTGCATCCATCGACTTCCTGCATGTCTTACCAGGTCGTCACTCCATCTAGTGGGGGGTCGCCCTACACTACGCCTACCGGTACGAAGGTGCCACTCGAAAACCTTTCTTCTCCATCGGTTATCGGTTCTTCGAGCTATATGGCCAGCCCATTGCCACTTCAGCTTACTAATCCGTTGGGCTATGTCGGTCACTCTGGTTTTACTGCGGATATCCTCATTTCTGAGTCTATCACGCAGAGAAACTCCAAGCATAGCCCTATCCATAGCTCGCGACTTGAGCGATCTTGAGCGTCCTCATACGGCCAGCAGTGCAGGACCACGTCTCAGATCCGTAAATCATCACTGGCAACACGCACTGGTTATACACTTTAGTTTTCAGAGATTGAGGTATACCTGACGAGAAGATGTGTCGTTAATTTCCCGAACGCTGCCCAGCCGAGTTGAATCCGTCGATTGACCTCTCGGTCGAAGTTGGACTTACTTAGTCGGACTATTTGTACCAGGTAAACGTACTCGTCAACAACTTCGAGCATAGTGCTTCCAACAACTACCGGCATAGGTGTGACATGGACATTAAACATGAGCTTTGTTTTGTCCATGTTCATCTTAAGACCTATCCATTAGGAGACATCATGAGGTCATTGAGCATAGTGCTAAGGTCCTCCAGCGATTCTGCCATAAGGACTATATGATTATTATTTTTGTTTGAAGTAGGCTGCAGGTGTCCATGGAATGTTCGTTTTTCACTTCATTTTTATAAAAAAAATATTGCACAACAAACTTGCAGTGTGGCGGTGTACTACATGAGAGCGAAGGCCCGTGCACAGCGCTCCATGGTTGGCATCCTGCGACGAATGCTGGCGCTACAGTCCAAGAACAAGGCTTTCCTGCTGGCCGCCATCGACAAGGTCTCCAACGGAGGTGAGCTCTTTTGTGTCACTGCATAGTAAACCTATAAGTAGACCTTATGGTAGGTTTTACTGCACACGATTCTGCTTCAATTTTAAAGGAAGAAAAAAGTAAAAGCGGAGTTAAAAAACTAAAAATAATAAATTTGAATAATATAGTTTTAAATAAGAATTTCCACATAGCAACTTCTGAAATTAACTTTTTATTAAAAGTTAAATTTTTTCACCAGTTTGAGTAGAGTGTCTAATAATTATATTTTTTCAATTCGACGTGGACTAAAACATACACCAGAACATGCCACCTTAAGTCCTCAAGGGTTTAACTGTGTCATGTGGCTACCTAACTTTCGATGCTACTGTATACTTATATAATATTTTTGATTAGTTTCACATTTTTTTTAAGAAATGTAATAACATTTAATATTTTCTTTGGTAATTTACTACAGATACGATAAATACATAATCTCTTTTCCGCATTGCATATGTATTTTTGGGTTTAGGTACTACCATATTATCCAAGTAATTTTTGTAAACTACGTTTTTGTAAGTGCTTAGGGCGATTTGTTTTAATTAAATTATTAATGTATTGACGTTCTTCACGTGAAATAATCATGTGCGCATTATTGAATACATCTACCACTTTACAGTATCTGAACAATGCAGAGTAATCATCTTTGTATTGTTTTTTTATTTTTGTGTTAACTTAACGAAATAATGAACGAAATTTTAGATTTTATAAATTTTAGATCTATTGAACGTATTCTATTCTATCTATTCTTATACTCTTTGGATATTTAATTGCAAATTCAATAAAATTCGACTAGGTCAAAAATATCTCTTTTATTGCATTTTATAGGGATATCTAAAAAAACATGTAGATGTCATTAACTGTAATCAAGATTTAGCTACGGATTAGTAAGAAAGTGGCAATGGCCCGGCCATATAGCTTGAAGGACCGACAACCGATGGGGTAGAAAGGTTCTCGAGTGGCAATCTCGTACCGGTAGGCGAAGTGTATGGCGGCCGCCCACTAGCTGGAGTAACGACCTGGTACGACATGCAGGAATTCGATGGATGCAGGTGGATCAGCAGCGTGCTTTGTGGTATCCCCTGTGTCAGACCCATGTTCAGCAGTGGACTTGTGAAGGGCAGCAATGAATGAATGAATGAAGATATAGCTATTTTGAACCAAATTATTTTTCAGAATGGCTCTATAGTCCCAAACCAGAAGACCAAGGACCTGACAGTCACACCTGGAAATACCTCCAGGAAGTCCGCAAGCCTTCCAACGCAGGCTACCATTTCGACCCCACCAGGCTGAACCACTCGATGATCGAGAGGCCTCGTTCGTACGCGAAGGATATACGCCCCAATTCTTACCACATGGACAGATGGAAGTCCAGCGAGGACGGTGAGACCGACAGCTCTTTCTCTTGGCAGGGATCCGGGAATGGTTTAAATAAGGAGAATGATGCCGAAGTAGGCAAGTGGTTATAACTTATAAATTAACTTTCGTCTCCCATAGCATTTTTTTTTTCAAATATTCTTTTAAAATTCAATAAAAATGTCTTCCAGTTCTTTTTTTAACGGCGGAGGTTCTTTTGAAGTGAATGTGAATGAATTAGTCCCTTAAATTAATTTTAATGATGATATTGATGTTAATACCGTATCTTTTCCAGTCCAGTAGCTTGAAAACGTCTTCCAACGCAGCGGTGAAGAGTTTCGGGGATATAACTACACCCTGTTTTACACCTCTCTGCAGTTGGATAGGTTTCGAACTCCGGTTTTGTACTCGGATAGCCATCGTAGCCCTACTGTACAAACACTTCAGCACTTCGATATACCGACAGTCAACTTGGCACCGCTGAAGGAACTGTAGCACCGCCCAAATTTCGACGGAATCAAAGGCTTTCTCATAGTCCACATATGCCAGGCAAAGTGGCAGATTTTACTCTTCGGTCTTCTGTACAATCTGCCGCAGGGTATGTATGTGGTCTATGGTACTGAAGCCTTTTCGGAAACCGGCTTTTTCAGGAGGCTGGAAGTTGTCGAGTCTGCGTGCGAGACGATTCGTAATGCCGTGTAGTGGCGGTTGAGAATATCCACTACCCCATATCTTCCCGTGGTGTCGTAAGAGGCGACAGAGGAAGACAGGCAGGAGATGGGCAGCAGCATCTTCCTGATAACAACTGTGATATAATAAAAAACTGCAGTTGCCAACCCGATAGCCAAGCGTGGCAACTATGGCAAATATCGCCCCATGAATAACGACGAAAAAAAAACGGCCCCCCGTCCCCGGCGGCCCCGCTATTCCTGGCTACGGTGGCGACCATGATAACGGCGGGGCAGGGGGTGCTAAGAATCTCCGGTGGAGGTTCGGTTGCCACCTACGACGACACGACGTGGCAACATATAACGCACGCACCTTAAGGACTGACGAGAAGATACTGGAGCTGGAAGAAGAGGTAGACAAGTTGCGCTGGCATATTATTGGATTATCCAAGATACGAAGAGAGGGGGAGGACACGGCAATCCTCGAGTCCGGCAACTTGTTCTACCACCGGAAGGGCTACCATCTGTCCCAAGGAGGTGTCGAAGTTATCGTCCACAAGTCTCTCGTCAACAACGTTGTAAAGATTGGGAGTGACGAGGGTCGCGTACCTGATACACAGAATCACCAAACGGTATTCGTTGAAGGTCATACAGGTTTACGCACCAACCTCGGCACATACCGATGAGGAGGTGGATGAAATGTATCAGGATATTTCCAGAGCCATGCATTCCTCCAAAACCCACTACACGGTGTTGATAGGAGACTTCAACGCAAAACGAGCTGAAGGTAGGAAAATTTGGAGTAGGGCAACGGAACCGAAGGGGCCAGCAGCTGGCCGACTTTATGGAGAAAGAGGGATTCTTTATGATAAACTCTTTCTTACGAAAGCGGCCCCACTGGAAGTGGACCTGGTCGAGCCCCGACGGTTCAACAAAAAATGAGATTGACTTCATTATGACGATCAGACGCCAACTATTCCATGATGTCTCAGTGATCGCAAGGGTGAAAACTGGCAGCGATCACCGAATAGTTAGAGGCACACTGAACCTAAACGTTAAGTTGGAGAGGTCTCGTCTAATGAAGTCAACGCTCTTCCCCCTCGTGCTCTAATTCAGAATCCCGAAACCTTTCAGCTCGAGTTAAGTAACCGCTTTCAGTGCCTAGAACATTGCAATACAGTGGACGATATGAATGACAAGCTCGCGGTCGGAGCTAAGTTCTGCAAGATCCGCCGCAAAAGAACACAAAACTCTCCGATCACACTCTTAATCTCATGGCTGTTAGACGAGAGATGAGGCTACAATAGTGAACAGATTTGACAGCATACAGGCAACTGAACAGATAGATCTCCAAATGTATGCGCCGAGACTTACACAACTTTAATACTGCTCGTATTAAAGAAGCGATCGAGCAGAGGAAGCAGGGCTCCAAAGTCTTTGCCAGAGATCTGTCTGCCAGAAAGAGCCAACTGTCAAAACTGAAAACTGAGTGTGGCAACATCGTTTCCGGGACAGCTGGGATACTGAGTGAGATTGAGAGGTTCTATGGGCAGCTGTTCACATCATCGTTGGAGCCACACGCAAGTGTGAGTAACGATCCAAGGGCAAGTCTTATCCGACACTATTCCGATGATATCCCGGGCGTCAGTCTGAGCGAGATTAGAATGGCTCTCCACCACCTTAAAAACGACAAGGCCCCGGGCGAGGATGGAATTACAGCGGAGCTTCTGAAAGCGGGTGGAACACCGGTACTCGAAGTCCTTCAGTAGCTCTTCAATTCCGTCCTCCATGGTTGCACTACTCCGGAGGCGTGGAGCAGAAGTGAGGTGGTCTTGTTCTTTAAGAATAGCGACAACGCTCTCTTGAAGAACTACAGACCGATTTCCCTTCTGAGCCGCGTCTACGTGCTGTTTTCGAGAGTCATTAAACATTTTATTTAAGAAAAATTATTTTGTTCAAAAATATATGACAATTTGTTGGTTATAACAGTTAGATTTAACATCTTTATGAGTTTTTAGTAAAGCATTTGCGCTGCACACGGGCGAGGTTGGCATGTAAGGCTGGTACTCTTAATGTATGCGCAACATTGGAAGACGTCGCATACCCGAAGTCTGTGTGGCACACGGTGGCATGATAACAGATGATGTAACTTATTTACAGTTTCATAATATATAATAATAAGAGCGGTAACCTAAGATGTGAAAGCTCATCTCAAAATCATAATAAAAAAAGTATTTGGATTTAGAGAGAGCACAAATATCATAAATAAAGATTTTGAATTTTAAGCCTTACAGATTCATAATACTAAATTAATTTTCCCTGTGTAGTCTTCTTACAGTTTGCTAGTTATACTTATTTAATATCGTTCTTAACCTACATAGTTAGTCCCTTGCATATATAACTCTGATTTTGAAAATTACTCATAAAAGAGAAAAAAAAGTGTTTGGGACCTCTAACATTTCGGCGTTACGCAAATTTAGGTATTATATGTACCGAGCGGGCGGCGAACTACGCGAGATATCGATACGTGATTTCTTTCATATCTATTTACTCACTCGCACTACGATACTGTGAGTATGACGACTAAACAATCTTGATCGCCCATAATATAAGTTTTCTTAGCATGGAGTTCAGTGAATGGAAAATTTTTGGCGTGTCATTTTAATGTTTTTCATTATTTATTTATTAGTGTTGTTATAAGTACACATAAATATTTTAATTGTTATGCAGTAATCGATTGTTAACCGACGTTGGTTAATATTCGATTATATCTGCTAACGGTAACATAGTAGTATAAATAAATAAATAGTACGTTTGCAACCTATTTTGATAAATAAAATAACCAAATGTAACAAATATTTTTTTAATCGGTACTTACAGTCAATAACCATATTTTTTACCTATTATAAAAATATTTTTCGCAACGGCGTTGACCGAGCTTATCTCTAGTCGATAATTTCAGGCAGTACACACTTTTTATAAAACGCTTGTAACTTAGGTAACATATACAAAATCCAAAATAGGCATCTATGTGGATTTTTAGATCTTTTACTGCATGATCGGGTCCAGTGCATATGGCAAGTATACAGATATTTTTATGCTCCATTATTATTTCTCCTGGGAGAGGATATTTTTTTTTAAGTTTGGTGACGCATTGGTACTTGTATTTATATTTCCTCATTTCGACTGGTAAGAAAGCTCAGCTACAATCAAAATAACTATAATGAGTTAACTATCTGGTATCATAATAATGTCCAAACTTTATATTGATTGAAATATACTGTACGAAAATAAATACTTCCAACGATAGAAAACTGTTGTCGTAGTTGACGATAATCTAGCACGCACAAAATAGCAGTGCCTATATGGCAATTGACGCACACTACGATAGTATCGAAACGACGCAGAGTGCGTAATCAATTGACGCATGTCCACCCTCGACAAGCGCTCGCGTGATTATGATCGCAAATGGCCGGCGAAGTAAAATATATGGTACTTTCATTTAACTCTTCAAACGACATAAAAATCACATGCAGTTTCATGCGCCCGGGAAATCCCGAGCGGTCGCATGCGACCGCACCCACCCAAAACAAATAAAACCATTATAACTTACATTTAGAGACTAATTTTCTTTGAAGAAGTTTAGCATTATAAAATCTATACACAATTATATATCTTGTGGTCTAAACAAAAGTCAGGGTGTATTTCATAACTAAAAGATTTAATTGTATTTTGATTTAAAAAAAACATACCAAGCGAATGTCGGCAGCGTGAAAACCACAATTATTTCAATATATATTACTCGAAATTATTAACGTAAAAAGATACATTATATTCACGCAAAAACTTTCATTACAATTTTATAATAATAACACTATACAAAAACACTAATAAAACACTAGAAAAATCCAAAAATCAACACAATAAAATTCACGCGAAAATGGCGTACGAAAAAAACGTCTTTTTATTGCACTAGAGGATAGAGTATTTCATATTGATTATATAATGCCAATATACCCCCATGTTAGTTACGAAGAAACGGCCCCAGTCACCGGTAGCTCCGCTATTCCTGGCTACGGTGGTGATCATGGTAACGGCGGGGCAGGGGGTGCTAAGAATCTCTGGTAGAAGTTCGGTTGCCACCTACGACGACTTAACTTGGCAACGTATAACGCACGCACACTGAGGACTGACGAGAAGATCCTGGAGCTGGATGAAGATATAGACAAGTTGCGCTGAAATATTATAGGATTATCCGAGGTCCGAAGAGAGGGGGAGGAAACGGTGCTTCTCGAATCCAGCAACTTGTTCAATAACCGGGAGGGTGACTATATGTCCCAAGGAGGTGTCGGATTTATCGTGCACAAGTCTCTTGTCAACAACGTTGTAAAAATTGGGAGTGTGTCGACGAGGGTCGCGTACCTGATATTCATAATCACCAAACG